CAATTTCGCCAATTCAAGCCTAATTCTACCACGGACCTCCAAATCACATTCTGGACGCACTCCTGAAGACCAAAATCACCTAACGGAGCTAACGGAACCATCAGAATTCAAATCCGAGATCGTTTACACATAGGTCAACATCCAGTTGACTTTTCCAACTTAAGTTTCTACTTAAGAGACTAAGTGTCTCAATTCACTCTGAAACCACTCCGATCCCGAACCAACTAACCCGATATAACATAATATAGCTGAATAACACAAAAGAAGTATAAATGGGGAAAATGGGGCTATAACTCTCGAAACGACCGGCCGGGGTCATTACAATTATATATGAGTTAAAATGATTAGAGAGGCCAATATATATATATTATATTAAAAGCACGAAGACCCTAAGCGAAATATCGTTCGCCTTTTTTACCCTTTAAAATTAGAAATTACATTAGATAAAATAATCATTTAATTATTTTCATAATATTTAGGGCCTTAACTTCAACTAACATTATGTTTATTTATTTTTTTGTTAATAACGTATGTAAGAATCCTCCAATCTTTGTTATTTGAAGTTTAAGTTTATATGGCACTTATTTACTTGCCATTTATATTTAGCATATTAACCAAGTAAACTATCAATTGGTTTAATCTTCGTTACAATCCGATACTTTATTGAATTGATACCATAATTAATGATTCACGTGCCAGCCATTAATTCCTTGCTATTTAGTGCATTCTACCTTTTTGTCCGGTAATTTACAAAAAGTGGTAGGCTATATTTGTATGAAACATACTGAAAATAGAAAAAGATTTTTAACTAGCACAGACTCTTTAATGCCAAGATTCAAAAGGATTCTAAGAAATTACCGAAACAACCCGCATCCAAGTAATTCTTAGGAGTTTTCATCTCAAATATATATATAAACAGGCGGTGAAACTCAAATATGATCGTTTAAAGGATATTAAAATCTCAAGTCAAACAGTCATACACAAGCCAGGGGCGGCTCAACGGTATCCAGGGCCTAAAGCCAAACTTCAACGAGGGGCCCTAAGTTTTTTCATATTTAAAAACTCATTTAATAAAATTTTTATTATGAAGTTAATTTTTCTAGCTTTTTGAGATGTAAATTTTTTAATAATTTATTTATAATCGATTTCTTAACTAGNTTTCTTATTTTTTATAAGATCTTTGTTAAACTCTCACCAACTTCTTCTTCTTCTTGGATTTCATTGTCTTCTACCTCAATTATATTAGTGATTTGTTTGTCTACCATAAATTCTTCCTATTTTTGGGGATTGTATTAAAGTTTCAATTCTTCTCTCTTTTTTGGCATTTTTAATATGCGGATTCATATTTTTTTGTTGATTTATTAAAATTCTAATAAATTTAAAAAGATAATACATATACTTACAAATAAAAGATATCAAAAAATAAAAAAATTTAGATGCAAAGTAATAAGAAAAATATTGAACAATTGAACCTGGTTTAACAAATAGTCATAGATAGTTTTATATTACTTTTGCTGTTTCAATATTTTTGGTACAATTCCGGGAAAGCTTGACAAAAAAAGAGTTCGCAACTGCTTTCTACTATCATATTTGACATAATATTTTATGAGACAGTAGACTTATAAGTTTGGAAAGGCTAAAAGGAATATAAAAGATTAAGTAAAAATCAGTTTAAAGAGAAAGTAATAAAAGTAACGTGGGCCCTGTGATAATAATGATAATATATAAAGGAGGCAAGACATATATTTACAAGTAAGTTACTATTCTTATTCCCAAATTATCTCTATTGGTCTCATAGTTTCCTTATTTATGAAAGATATACTTTTTTTTTATATACTAAATATTTTTTAAAAAATTCATCAAATACAGATACAACTATTTAATATAATATCAGAAAATTTTGGGCCCCAAATGTGGAACCTCAAGCAGTTGCTTGAGTGACTTTACCATTAAGCCACCAAACGCCCAACGGATGAATTTATTCGCATCTAGGAGTTTTTGTTTTTAGCTTAAAATCCATTGGTATTTTTCTTTTCTCTTTACTTTGTATCTTCTTTGCACTTTTGAATCTCTTTTATCTATTGTAGTCATACGTTTACCGTCAACTTAAGTTCATTGCTTCAAGTGTTTTCTTATTTTGTACTTAATCTGCTTTGTTTGATTTGTTCTTTGTACTTTGTTTGATTTTGTGATTTTTTCCTTAAATTGAAACAGGTTATATATTTTTCTATATAATTACCGTTATTTGTTTTTGCTACTAAATTGTAGACTAACTTTTCAAGTCGTTAATTTGGAGTTCGCTTTTTCTTCCTCTTATAGGATACAACTAAGTTATCTTGAAAATTAGGGAGAACAAAAAGATAATGAAGATTGTCTGGCATCCGCCAACTCTTTTGATTTGTTTGCACAAACATCATAATATAATATGTTGAATTTAATTTCGAAAAATTTGTCAATCACATTGAGCGATTGATGAATAACTTCTTCATGTTTAATTCAATGTACACTTTTACCTTTTTTCCTTTTCTAAATTTAGAAAGGTCTATATAAAGGTAGGATTGGAAATGAAAATGGTCAATATTTTTTTTTCTTTCTTTTGGTTAAAAAGATACATATATTAGTACTGCCAAATACTATTAGTACATTATTTGAAGTTTCTTATGTAGCAAGGCAGAAAAATATATTAGTAGGGTATGCACTTTTTTTTAATTATCTCTATAAACTGTTGAGATGATTCTTTTATTGTTTTATATGAATTAGAAGATGCACTAACAAAGCATAGAAACAACTTAGTTTTGCACCAAATTCGTATAAACAATGGAATGAGATATTATTTTACAAGCGTTATTTACTTATTTTTGGACGAACTTATACTGGAATAGGACTAAATCCAGAAAGCAGTATCCACGTGGTCATATTACATGATCAATGTTTATCACAAAAGAAATAAAAATACTACAACGTACAAAAAAAAAACTTAAAGAAAATAAAAAAAAAAAGTAAAAGAAAAAGCAGTTTGTAAAATTCACGTTATTCTTCCCAAGAAGTTAGTATTTCTCCTTTACTTTTATATTATAATTCAATTTGTTTTACAAGTTGATATTATTGTAGTTATTTTTATTTTATAGTGGTGTATCTAAATTGATAATGGATCATTGTCCTTCACTTATTAAAGCAAAGCTCTCCTCACATAAATAATTAAGATGTTTTTCTTATTTCTTTTTCTTCTAACAATTTCGTAGGCAAATCAAATATTTTATATATGCACGAGGAAGAAGAACCCACCGGATAGAGAGAAAAGGATCGGAGCAGGAGAGATTTGTGGAAAAAGAAGCCCAATAAGAGAGAGCAGAGAAGAGATAGAACCAAAATTTACTTGCATAATACTACAGAAAAGAAGCCATATTTCCAAGTGAGTCTGTATCATTAACACGTGGAACATAGTGGAGAACCAGAATAGAATTTCAAACTCGCCCTTATTTTTTATTTAATTACATAATTGCCCTTTCGTCGTACCTCAGTACCTTCACTTATTATATAGGTAAAATATGAAGCAGTGAATGTCAACATAAAAAACAAGATTAATGGTTCACCTCTCACATGCTTTCCTGATCTCATATAGTGAGACTTGAATACCATCTATAGGACTGTAATTATAAAAAGATGGGAAAACAATGAGTGACTCAACCTCTAAATGAGGCTAACAGTTGCAGTAGAAATCCACGCTTTGAAAAATTGATAATAAATTATTGTTTCTCGTGTTGCTACCCATTTCATAAGTATCGGGTCATGTTAATTTATCTAAATTTATGTTACCAACGTCCAAATAAAAATTAAATACATGGTTCACAGTAGGAAGTTTGTATGCTGTGAGTTAACAAATGAAAAACAGATAACAAGAGAAAAAGAACAAAAAAAAAGGGAGCTAGAGAGAGAGGCTTTATAAAAAGACCAAATATTTTCGTATAGTATTCTTTTATTAATCAAGGAAATATTTGTTAGGAAATAAATCTTAAGTTGAATATGTGTGTTCTTCCTAAAACCGAAAAGGAAATAAATCTTAAGTTGAATATTCACTAAGAGCAAAACTTCTTCCTTTATTGAGTAGCTAAATAGGTTGCATTATTTTCAGAGATTTATACCTTTTTAATTTTTATTTTAATACTCAAACATAATTTTTATTATAATATTTATGTTATTTTGAAAAATAGTCATATTCATTAAATAGGGGTACACGAGCAATGCGCATACTCTAAGACTATTATATAGAAGCAACAGATTGGTTGTTGCATTGCATGGCAAGAAGTCAAATACTTACCCCTCCCTTTTTGACTCCTTACCTATTGCCGGCTGGCGGCAAATTCTGCAAAGATTTTTTTTATTTACATATATAAGACAAAAAATCTTTTATTATTACCATACCTGCCAAAATTTATCCTAAACCATATTTTTATCACAGTGAATATAAATTTTGCATATAATTCACTTACTAATAACTTTGTTTCAATTTTATGATATGGCTTTTAATTGCATACAAAATTTATTAAAGAGAGAAATTTTGACTTAGGTTCAAAAAATATTAAAGTGATTCAGATCATGTGAGTCAAAGTGTTGTACGACTTTACGAAAATAAAGTTTACTTTTTGTAAAGCAGTCAGTAAATATATTACAAATAAAAATTTGTAAAAATAATCAAGAAAAAAGTCATAATTTAAGTTTTCAAATTTCAATAATGCTACGTAAAATAAAACAAAATGAGAATCCATATAAGAACATGCAATTAGGGACAAAATGAGAAACTATCACGATTGTAGTGCGATGAATATGATTTATGTATCCTTAATAGGTTTTATGTTCGGCCCTAAGTATGAATTTTTTTTATAAAGAGCATTTTTACTTTAATAAGTGTTACACAGGACAAATCTGGATTAATGGAGTCGGGGAAAATAAAAAGCTAACATATACTATAAGTTTAAGTATAATTACGTATAAATATTTAAAGAGTTTGGGACCAAAGTGCGAAAATGAGGGCTTGCTTTCTCTCTGTTTCTATGTAGAACAACAACAAACAAATACACACACAAAACACAGACGCACACACGTATATATATCCGTCAGATTTGCTCAGACAATTGTTTCTTCTTCGATCTGTAAGTTAATTAATTACTTCATACATGAATTTTCTCTCGTTTTATCACTCTAATCCCTTGAATTGAATCAGCAATTTCCACAATTTCACAATTTTCGGTGTGTTTTTGGGTTTGATTTTGGTGATTTTTGAGATTGTTGAGATTAAATGAAAACCCTAGATCTTTCCGGGTAGTGTTTTTTCGTAAATAATTGAGGTTTTGAGGTCGGATCTGATACTTGTTAGCTAGATTTTGAAGTTGAATTTAGAGAATTTTGTAAGCCAATTTTGTTAGGGTTAGGATTTTTTATTGAGTAAAATTGATGGCTTCGAATCCTCCATTTCTACTGGAGGATCAGACGGATGAGGATTTCTTCGATAAATTGGTCAATGATGATGACGATGATGTTGGTTTTAATGTAACTACACCGGGACCAGGCTTGGGCATGAGCTCGAGCCCGGTGTACATCCATGGGAATGACTCTGATGAGGTTAAAGCATTTGCTAATCTCAGTATCAGTGATGATACCAGTGCTAGAGCTGATAATATAAGGGAGGAGAGTAGTGGTTTTCAGGCAACTACATCGTCAGCAGAACCAGGACTGGACTTGGACGCTAGCCAGGTCTACGTCGATGGGAATGAATCTGATGAGGTTAAAGCCTTTGCTAATCTCAGTATCAGTGATGATAGCAATAGTGGAGTTGATATTACAAGTGGTGATAAAGGTGTTAATTGCAATGCTAAAACAGCGTTAATTGCTGAGGGGAATGGAGAGAAGAAGAGTAGTGGTTCTTTAATGTCATTGGCTTCTGGGGGGTCGGATGGTTTACTCGAGTCGAGCAATGGTAATATGGAGACTGAGGTAACGGCTGATAAGACGGAGAATCACACTGGTGGATCAGGCAATTCGGGTGTGAAGGAGGTTGGGTGGAGTGCATTTCATGCTGATCCAGTTGCAAATGGCGATAATTCTGGGTTTGGATCATACATGGACTTTTTCAGTGAATTGGGGGATAATAATGATGGTGATGCAATTGAAAATGCTGGGGAGAATGTGAATAAGGAGTCAACTGTTGTGCCAGCCGATCAAGTTCATGACACGAAACAAGTTCATGAAATGTCGTATTTGGATAATACTAGCAGTTCGTTAACACAGGGTCAAGATGGGTACGGCTATGATGCTACCACAGGACAAGTTGCAGATGGACATGATCTAAATAGTAGTCAATACTGGGAAGATCTTTATCCGGGATGGAAGTATGATGCAAACACTGGGCAGTGGTATCAGGTTGATAGTATTGATTCAGGTGCTAATGCCCAAGGGAGTACTGATTCTAATTTGGTTTCTGATTGGGCAGTTTCTGATGGAACGCCAGAGGTCTCGTACCTACAGCAAGATGCTCAGTCTGTTTCTGGTAACGCGGCTGAGAGTGGTACGACTGAGAGTGTCACTAATTGGAATCAGGTTTCCCAGGTAAGCAATGCTACTGAGAACGTGGCAAACTGGAATCAGGCTTCACAGACGAGTGACAGTGGCGGGGTTGTGACTGACTGGAATCAGGTGTCACTGGCTAGTGATGCAGGTGGTGTCATGACTGACTGGAATCAGGCCTCACAAATCAACAATGGGTATCCATCGCATATGGTTTTTGATCCTCAGTACCCTGGTTGGTATTACGATACGATTGCGCTTGAATGGCGCTCTCTGGAGAGCTACGCATCGTCTGCTCAATCAACTGTTCAAGGTGAGAGCCAGCTGGATCAGACTGGTTTGGCTTCGCAGCAGACTTTCTCTCACAATGATGATCAAAGGAATTACGGGCACAAAGAGAATAGTGGATTCCAAGGGTTTAGCAGTGGAGGAGGAGATTACAACTGGTCTGGCTCTTTTAGTAATTACAATGAGAATAGCTCAAATTTGTCGCAAAATGAAAATGTTGCAAAGAGTTACCCTGTATCAGAATATAGGGGGATTCAGCAATTAGAGAATCACTACAACCAAGATTTTTCTACAAGCAGCGATGTTAATAGGCAAATGTCTAATCATTATGAGGGAACAGTTCCATACAATGCAAAAGCAATTCAAAGTCAAGGTAACCAAGGCTTTTTCTCTGGTGGGGGTTTTGGTCAGCAATTTTGTCAGCCAACACTTCAGCAACATGAGCAAAAGCATGCCTTAAGTGATTATTACGGGAGTCAAACCACAGCCAATTATTCCCAGCAAGCATTTCAGAGCAGCCAGCAGTTTTCTCATGCTCCTGCTGCAGGAAGATCATCGGCTGGGCGTCCACTACATGCTTTAGTCACTTTTGGTTTTGGTGGAAAACTGATTGTGATGAAAGATAATAGTTCCTTTGGAAACCAATCCTTTGGAAGTCAGGTTTGTATCATTGTTTCTTTATTTTGTCTTTTCCCAATATTTTGCGGTGCAGTACTCTTACTAATTATTGAAAGTTTTTTTGCATGGTGGGTAAAGAATCCTGTAGGAGGTTCAATATCTGTGCTCAACTTGATGGATGTTGTCTTTGAGAGAGTTGACACTTCAAGCCTTGCGATGGGGGCATGTGAGTATACCCGAACTCTGTGCCGGCAATCATTCCCTGGTCCACTAGTTGGTGGAAGTCCCAGTACCAAGGAGTTTAATAAATGGATTGATGAGAGGATTGCAAACTCTGAATCTCCTGACATGGATTACAGGAAAGGCGAAGTTTTGAGGTTGCTTCTGTCATTGCTAAAAATAGCATGTCAGTATTATGGGAAATTTCGTTCTCCTTTTGGTACTGAGGCTGTGTTAAAGGTAAAGTTTGAAAATTTGTTGGAATAACATGCCTGTATTTAATTATTGACTATTTGTTTCAACCTGTCAAAACGAGCTGTCTGTTGAAATTGAGCTCTGGTCCAACTAAGTTAAGTTTTATTCCATTTCTTATCATTTTTCGTTTTTGTTGCCTAAATAGGCATATCTTAGTTCTAACTCCTTTCACTTTTAATGCCCTTGATCCTATCTAATCTGGACTTGCTTTAGTTGGGTTTACAGAATTAAATGTCATCTTTGTCAACTGAAATACTTGGTTGCCTTTAGTGGTCAAAGTTCATTCAATTTGAGAACTTATGGTATCAGCACATACTTACTAGATAGTTTCTCATGCTTCTTTTTACATGTTTTGCATCTAACATAACCTTTTGCTTTCTAGATAAATCTTCCTCTATATTTTGATTATTTACTTGATCACCTATGGGCTGGGTGCACCTCCCCCAAGTTCAAGGAATTCGACTGGCTTCTCTTCCCTAAATGATGAAAACATTAGGTAGGAAACAAGAAAGAAAAATCCAGTAATTGATGTTGATTGCTAATTAAATAAAAAAATAATAGGCGGTAGCAATGGCACTACTCCCCTCTGTTCATTTATGTGGCACTTTCCTTTTTAAGCTGTTACAAAAAGAATGACCCCTTTCTATAGTTGAGAAGGAATGACCCCTTTCTATCTTTAGAAACCATTTGACTTTAAGCTTATCCATTTCACCCTTGATGAGATAATATATAGCCACACAAATGTTTATGGTTTGTTTTCGACCACAAGCTTCAAAAGTCTTTCTTTTTTTCTTAAACTCCGTGCCCAGCTAAACTATGCCGCATAAAATGGCACAGAGAGCTAACAAAGAGAGAAGAAATTGAAAAGTCTTGATTACTTTCTCCCCATTGTCTATATCACTCTTTATCTCAAAGAGCGGCCGCTCAAAGAGTGGCTGGAGGACTTTGGGAGGAAGTGTTTCTTTTTCTATATCTTGTGTTCTCTTTGATGATTTTCACTGCAGAAGAGCGTGCCATTGTCATTTGAAGAAATCTCTTGTTAGAAATTAACACCATAGCCCATAGCAGTGTAATAGCTTATACTAACTAGGAAACAGTATTGAAGTTGTGAACTAGCTTGTTATAGTTTTGATGAATTTACATATGTTCTTCAATACTTGGTTAAAATTGGCGAAGTTTGCTAAACTTGCTTTTTCTCATTCCATTTTAATCTCGTCAAAACAAAGTATATGAAGGAACATTTTCCTTTTTTTTTAATGTCTTTTAAATTTTTCAACTTGGAAAACCATCTAGCCTGATAGCATGTAAAATAGCTCCTGTCTAATTTTATTTTCACCAAAATCGACAAACTCAGTAGCAGTTGCTAACTTGGTTCTTCCATTTTAACAGGAAAGCGATGCTCCAGAAACAGCGGTAGCAAAATTGTTTGCATCTGTGAAGAGGAATGGGATGCAATTCAATCAATATGGCGCTGTTGCCCAGTGCTTGCAGCAATTGCCTTCTGAAGGACAGATGCGGGTAGTTCTTTTTTACTTTCTGTTCTTCAGTTGCTATTTTAATTGTTTGCTAGATCAGCCAACTGTTTTCAGTACGTGCTTTAGGCTACTGCTGCTGAGGTTCAAATTCTTCTAGTTTCTGGAAGAAAGAAAGAAGCATTACAAGTTGCACACGAGGGTCAGTTGTGGGGGCCAGCTCTTGTTCTCGCTGCACAACTTGGTGAACAGGTTTGTCTGGTTCTCAGTGGCCCTTTAGCGACCACCCTTCTCTCTCTCTATATATATATATATGTGTGTGTCTCTGTGTGTGTGTGTGTCTGTGTGTATCTTTCTAGTTATATATTTTGACTTCATGGGTAATTGTAGTTCTATGGAGAAACGGTGAAGCAAATGGCACTTCGACAGTTAGTAGCAGGCTCACCTTTGCGGACACTATGCCTATTAATTGCAGGTCAACCGGCTGATGTCTTTTCTGTAGATTCTACAGTTCAAAGTGGCATGCCTGCTGTAAATGTGGCTCAGCAGCCTACACAGGTTTTGTTTTCATAACTTGTTACAACCAGTTGTTCATTAGCTTATTTACTGCCTTTTTCCTTTGATCTCGTTCTTTATGATTTGCCTAAGCCCCTGGAATGGAGCAATTAAAGGGGTTCTTCACTCTAATAGAGTATATCATTTCTATAACATGCAGTGCATTTATAAACATAGTATCATAATTATTCTTTGGCTATTAAAGTTTCGAAAAAAGTTCAGAAGACATTTTAGTGTCTATGTAAAGGTTAATAGTGAGAAAAAACTGAAAATGGAACGTAGCTATGTATTTTGATATTTGGAATTTCAATAATGCCTGCACTTTTGAAGTCCAAGGACTTTTTTTGGTTGGGGATAAGTTAGGTGTGGGCACTAGGGTTCAAATCCTAGCAGAGCGTAGAGACAAAAAAACAATGGGTAATCTCGTCCCATCTGCCTAAACCTTGGTGCGTAGAGTTACTTGATACCTGTTCTGGGATGTAGTAGGTACCCAGTGGAATAGTCGAGGTGCACGCAAGCTGGCCCAAACACCATCATTATACCCCCCCAAAAAAAAGAGTTTGGTGTGGGCACTGTTCTGTCAGATATGCAGGACTGTGATGATAAGTTAGGTGGGGGCGTCGTTCTGTCAGATGTGCAGAACCTGAATGATGCCCACATAGGATTCAATAGTCACCCTTAACCATTATGATTGTTTGTGAATGTTGTTTGAAGTTCATCTTTTTATGTCTTGGCATATTGCTTTTGGTCGTTTTATTACGTAACGCCGTAGGTCGTAAGTGCATCACTTTCTCTTGTTTTCTCGTTTCTGGGTTAATTGACTTTCTGCTCTTTCCTTCCCTAGTTTATTGCTTGTTGAAGATCTAAGGTTAACACTTTGTCTGGATTATTACCTTATTTTGATTTCTTCTCTTTATGCTAGTTTGGTGCTAATGTCATGCTGGATGACTGGGAAGAGAATTTGGCTGTGATCACTGCAAACAGAACGAAGGATGACGAACTGGTGCTTATTCATCTTGGCGATTGTTTGTGGAGAGAGAGGAGTGATGTAAGCCTCATGCCTTGCTTTTCTTATATTACTCTCTTCAGTGGATTACCTTCCACCTTAACTTTGTTGTCTGCTTCTTACATACATTTTCCTTTTCAAAAAACAATGCTCTAGATTGTTGCTGCACACATTTGCTATCTAGTGGCCGAAGCAAACTTTGAACCATATTCAGATACAGCGAGATTGTGTCTTGTGGGTGCAGATCACTTGAAATTTCCCCGAACTTATGCTAGTCCAGAGGCTATTCAGGTGCAGCTGACTCTATTTTTTGTGCATTTTCTAGTCATACGATGAAATGTGAAACATCTTGTGCCACAGCTAGCATATGCACTCATATAACTGTATGTGCTACTTGGCTAACACGGGTTTATCGCTTGACTGATCAAATATTTGTATGGACAGAGGACTGAGATTTATGAATACTCAAAGGTGCTGGGGAATTCTCAATTTATTCTCCTTCCTTTTCAACCATATAAACTTCTGTATGCACACATGTTAGCTGAAGTTGGGAGGATATCGGACGCATTAAAGTATGTATCCTATTTTATGTTCAGCAGAGTTCCTTGAAATCCTTTCAACTGGTTGCTTAGCATTGTTTTTTTAGGTACTGTCAAGCATTGTCGAAATCACTTAAAACTGGCCGAACCCCTGAGACTGAAACATTGAGACAGTTAGTGTCATCTCTCGAGGAAAGGATTAAAACTCACCAACAGGTACCTCTTTATCCTCTCATCTATGTTGAATGATTGTCTCAGAGTTACTTATGGTGGAACTTTCTGC